GGGCTGTGGCGTTTTCGTGCGACTATAGGGTGGCCACTGCGTGTGTTTGCTGCGCAACGCGCGACTATCTACGAATATTATTTTGGGCGCCAGTCGGCCTCAGTTCCGACGGATGCGAGGGATCCGTACGCCTCATGAGTCTCATTCGGAAGTGGAAGTTTAGCCGCATTAAAATGACTCACCGATCTCGCTCGGAGCGTAGAATTTCGGCAGGGTCGACGTTGCCGAATTTATGCGACTGCACTTGCGTCCTTAGAAAGGACGTGGGGATTCCAAGCAAGGACCCCTCCTCCCGCAGTTCTCCGTACAGACATGGGCAAGGTGGACTACGCGATGCATCACTGGCCCCGTGTTCCTGATTATTCCTACCGGATGGTCCTTCGTACTGCGTTACACTTCTGGTAAACCTGGTTGTCACATTGTCTTGCCCAGTACTCGGTGAAAGGTCGCTCATCTCGAGTCGAACGAATGGCGCTGCCGTTGCCATGACGCGTGCACGGAAACTGAATGTCAATGGCCTTGTGCCCGATTTGGCTGCATTTTTGCGATCTCCTCCGAATACACGTGTTAACGACCTCAACGGGCCTTTCCTGCCCAGGAGGAATCGAAGGACGCGTCGATAGCGTCGATCGCGTCGATAGCGTCACGTGACGACGCGGTGACGTTCAGTCACCCCGTGAGAAGTTTCGATTTCTCTTGATTCCATCGTAAGATCGCAAGGGCGATCTTGAAAGATCACTCCCCTCCCCAGTGCTGGGCAATTCCTAGTGGCCGCTCGTTCGCACAGACTGAACACTTCGCAGGGCAACGCTGCCCGCTAGGGTGGAGCTTCCGTTTCCGGTAGTGGACGTGCCGCGTACCTAGGGATCACCCGCGTCCGGTTCTATATGCCCGTTTCGAAGCGTCCATCGTGCCGTCTAAAGCTCCTTCGGCAACGATCACTTTTCACTCTATTCCTCGCATTTTCAGTCTCCGTGCTATTTTCATATCGACACTCCAATTCCTGACAGCCATCTCCTTGCGCACGAGGAGTCTTGCGCGCGAGTAGAAGAGGATTCTAGAGCAACCTTCGTTATTCAGCACTTAATTAAGTTAAGAGACATAATCAAGCCAGTCAAATCGTTGAAGAGGTTAATGGCCCTTCCGCAGTAGCATCCTCTCCTACTCGATTATGAGCTCCAAGCTCTCGAGTCTCTGCGATGCCTGCCTTCTTTTTTCCCCGTGTCTTCGTGGTTGGCTACTTCCTCCTGTTGGGTAGGCCTCTCACGATGGCCCAGACACGTCTTGCCAGCGTCAGTGATTGCGCCTACATCAATCTGCTCGCGTGGCTACGCTCGAGGGAATAAAGCTCCAACTTTAACCTTCGTACGTCCCTTCAAAATACTTACACATAAGATCCTTATGAATGATATCTCACCCAACCGTATCTTCCAACGAATTCCATAAAATTGAGCGTAAAAGGGTTAATGTCCACTGGCATGCAGTCTTTGTAAGGATTACCTCGAAGGTGTCGCCTCTGTGCACTGTGCGCCTGGGTACGCATAGCATTCCAATGGCTGTAGCGCAAAAGACTGGCCGGGAATCCGCTTCCGGTCAGCAGCAGATCCGCGAAGCAGGAAGAAACGAAAAATGGCAAAGCAAAACAAAGGTTAAGCGCCAAGTGGGGAAGTCGTATAGTCGTTTAACTATGCGCTCGCTCTTCGTAGGTACGTAAGGTGTTGATAGGTGACGAGGAGCGTACTCGTGTGTGGTCGTGTTCCAGTATTCCGCAGAAAAGCGTCCTCGACCCGGTATGCCTGCACCCATATCGGACGACCAGTAGGAAAAACATCTCCCAGCCTATCCGTCGTTTGTCGTTTGTTGCGCGATAAGCCTCTGTCGATAACGGATTTCCGGTAAGGAATGAGTAAGCGGTCGAGTGGCTGATCGCGTACGCGGAGGAGAGCGGAGGGAAGGAGAGGCGTGCTAATGCGAATGCGAATTCTGCTGCATCGACGAAGTAGAACCATGTGCGACAAGTGCGACAAGTGCGACAAGTGCGACAAGTGCCCACGTTCCTGAGGGATTACGATTTGAGTTGTGTTCACGTGGTGATCGGTGCGTAAGCAGTTTTGCATTCCGCGCGGAGACACTGCTAAATATTGATAACTCGAGTGCGCATACCTGCCTCCTGCCTTCCACGCTTCCTATCAGAACTAATGACCTCATCCTTGAATCACTTCTGAGAAGCCTGCCGAAACTCTTATCGAGCTCAAATCATATCTTAACGTCTCTTTTCGGGCTATCAAAGTATTTTCGACTTTTGCTTATCAGCTTGAATTCTTGGGGACCACTAAGACCCGTGTTCTGTATAAGATGTGAGTTAACATGTTTATTAGTGTTTGAGATCGACGACGCAAATACATATGTGCTACCTGCCGATGCTCTCCAATGGCAAATAGAATCCCACTTGGGCCGAACGTTCCTCGGTGCCTGGAAGCATTCGAAGCTTCAAGGAAAATGACACGACGCCTCTTCCCTCTCGCTCCCGTCATGTCTCTGTCCGTCTCTCTCCGTCTCTCTCAAACCTACACCGCACACTCTTCCTGCCACGCAATATTCCAGTAGGCACAAGACACTCGGATTTCTACAAGACTTGACGCGTTACTCACGGCGGTCTTCTTAGAAATTCGGCTTGACTGTTTTATTTCACCCGTTGCGTATCAGCCAAACATCGCTCCTTCTGGGTAGTTTACAATCTCGCGATTAGAATGAAATTCGAGATAGTTGCATCGCTCTTCGCAACCGAAATAATAATATTGTGTTACGGCGATGCGACACCGGGATGCCACGAAGCCTCTCTCTCTTTTTGTGAATATTGCTTTCTTTTACGATATGTCGAAAAGCCTCTCTGCTTGATTTACAAGTTTAGGACAGTTTCTGAGTATTTTAGGCACACGCTCCAGCACTGTCTATCTCGCATTGAAAAAAATCAAAAAAGACAGTAATGTCAGATCCAAAGGATTACGAAGTTTTTTTTTAAGGCAGTAAAGCGTATCGTCCTACGCGTAGCAGAGCAACAGTGATAGCAGTGGCGTAGTAGTAACGATCGCTGAGGTAGTAGCAACGGAGGAAGCAACGGGGATGAATCTGCCTTAACAAATGGAGAAGGAAAGAGATAAAAAGGGTGCTGCGCGGATGGCTGAAGCGTGAAGAAGGGAGAGAAGTGCCCTGAGGGTTACGGTTAGAGAAGAGCGGAGTCGAGTCTAGTTTAGAGCGAGGGACCCCGCCCTGACGCTACCAGCCGAACTCTCCACGTCAAGGTTTCAAACGTTCCGAGGGAGTGCTGAGTCCCGCGCAGCAACGACGCCGACGTTCGTCGGCGCGACCGTCACGCAGGGAGCAGTTCAGCCATCCAGCCATCCAGCCATCCAGCCATCCAGCCATCCAGCCATCCAGCCATCCAGCCGTCCAGCCGTCCAGCCATCCAGCCATCCAGCCGTCCAGCCGTCCAGCCATCCAGCCATCCAGCCGTCCAGCCGTCCAGCCATCCAGCCATCCAGCCGTCCAGCCGTCCAGCCATCCAGCCATCCAGCCGTCCAGCCGTCCAGCCATCCAGCCATCCAGCCGTCCAGCCGTCCAGCCATCCAGCCATCCAGCCGTCCAGCCGTCCAGCCATCCAGCCATCCAGCCGTCCAGCCGTCCAGCCATCCAGCCATCCAGCCGTCCAGCCGTCCAGCCATCCAGCCATCCAGCCGTCCAGCCGTCCAGCCATCCAGCCATCCAGCCGTCCAGCCGTCCAGCCATCCAGCCATCCAGCCGTCCAGCCGTCCAGCCATCCAGCCATCCAGCCGTCCAGCCGTCCAGCCATCCAGCCATCCAGCCGTCCAGCCGTCCAGCCATCCAGCCATCCAGCCGTCCAGCCGTCCAGCCATCCAGCCATCCAGCCATCCAGCCATCCAGCCATCCAGCCATCCAGCCGTCCAGCCGTCCAGCCATCCAGCCATCCAGCCGTCCAGCCGTCCAGCCATCCAGCACTGTGAAGCAGCGAGAAGCACAGAGCCTGTCAGACTCGCCCTTCTGCTCGCACTCGGCTCTACGTTCTTCCCGGACCTCATTCTTTCCTTGACCGGCGAAGAGCGCGCGTCGAGCTAACCGTCGTGCTCGCTGTAACGGCAAAAGTCCTCGCGATCGGCATACCGGCGTTGCCAGCCTTCAGGTCATTATCGGTATAGCAGTGAATTTACTGGAAGAATCGAGAACCCGTTTTTCCTATACCGGCAACCTCTGGTCTCCAGTGCTCTGTACTCTCGCCAGACGTTTTTCACCGAGATTCGAATGTGCTGCCGAAGTTGACGCGCCTGGATTACACGCCTACCAACCTGACCATTCGCAGCCCCGCCGTAGCAGCGTATATTGCGAATAACGGAAGTTAAACTCGTCACAGCAGTCCGAGGATTTGAATTTCTTAGCTGCCGGACGCTGATAGTTTTGAACTCGACAGCCAAAGTGACTTAGGATAGAGTGGCTACGAAGCAATGCGTTGCTGACAGAGGGACAGATAGAGTCTGCAGGCTGCCGGACAGATCGACGGACACGCATATACAGCCGAACACGAAGATAGGGAGACGGAGAGACGCCGTTGCCGTTCCCCCCCCTCCCTCGCGCTCTCTCGCTCAGTCGCTTATTCGCTTGGCAGTTGCTCGCGCGTTACCGACCTAACTGGACGAGTTGTGAGTGCGCTCTCCGTGAAAAAGTTCTTTGATACGTGCTGCTGGGTTTGTTAAGCCGTATTCCTTGTATTGCTTTATACGCAAACTGTGTTCAGTGCTGGAAAAGGGAAATAGCTGTGTGCTCTGTACGCCAATCTTTTTCCTGGCTGGTGAGTATTGTTTTTAATTTGTTGCGTTTGACGTTTACACGAAGATCCGTTCGTTTCGATTTGAGTCCGTGCATTTTCATTGGAGAATGCCAGTTGTCTATATTGCAGGCTTTTCGTGTCTCCTGATGTTTTCAAGAATACACGTTTTGTGCGTCGTAGAAATTGCCAGACTCTTCGCGTGACAGCTGGACTACTTAAAGAAATTCTCCTGATTGCGATGGCGACTTCTTGATATTTTAAATATCGTGCTGCTTCGCACTGTTGGATACGATCTTAATGGTACACCGAGATGGCCCAGGAGCAGCTTGCTCGCCATTTTGAAAATAGGCACCGATCGATAACGCCAGCGCACGAGAGCATTTGCGAAAATCTCTGGAGCTCGGCTCGAGCAGGCTCGTCTCCTCCCCGGTCTTCTGCTCGTTAATTAATTTCTTGGATACATTTTTCCTGATTTCATTTCTATCGGATATTCAGTCTAATCCCTGTATAGGCTGCGTTTTACTATAGCGTACTACTACTTTATGACGAGTGAACTGTATCCCATGCACTGTCGTATCACGTGTAAGCCAATACCGGCATGTTCCAGAGACACTGGAAATGGGATTGTACGGTTGTAGATTATTGGGCCCAGCTAAGCGATCGAGTTACGCCATCTTGCGGTACTCGTTCTACCACTTAAACGTAAGTTGTTCACCCAGGCCCCAGGCCACCTCAGAATACGACGGCCGTGCAGCACCGTGTGCCTATACCTATCCCAATTCCCGGTCCTTTCGAATTCGCTCTTTTCGTCTAGTGAGTTGAGACACTCGAGTAGAGAATTAGCTCATATTAGCCAGCACGCGTGTGTATGCACGTATAAGCAAGCAAGAGGCAGACAAGGCAGATACTTTCGATTTCCTAGCGAGAGTTCAATTCCCTTTCTTGAATCGAAGGTCCCGGCTAAGAGGATCACAGTCCGTAGCGGAGGAGGAGATGAGGAGGAGGAACGACAGGATAGAGGCTTCGGCATTTTTTTTGTACTCTCGTGGTTTCGTCAAAGCTAGCGAGAGGCGCTGACAATGAGAGGGAAAGAGAAAATGGAGTCTTTGTCTGCTCGAAGCCCGGATTTACTCTGTACAGTTACGCTGTGAGTCGGCTCTGCGTCTCTCTGCATCTTCCTGTGTCCTACGCCTTTGCTCGGGTGCCAGTTTTCTTTGTGCCAATTTTGCATGGCCTGCCTACCTGCCTCGCATTCGAGATCGACTCGAGTTCTCAGGTACCTCTTGTTTGGAAACCATATGGTTCCTGGTTACCTCGGGTAACTATTTCCTTTGGACAGAGTAGTACGCAAGGAGAAAGGAAGGACAATTTTAATCTTTGGTGGAGCCAACTAGTTAGAAGCGATAACAAATAAAAGTTATCAAAGTTGCGAAAACTCGTAGAGACTTTTGCCCGCTGACAGTCTTTTGCTTATCCGTGTTTGCGATTCCGTCGCGATAGATTCGCCGATTGGGCAGTCGATGGCGTCTGGGACAAGAACATTTATTCCGTCGAAATGCTCGTTTCACCGTTGCACCTCGGCGAGCCTGGCGTAACAGGTTACCAGACAGCTTTTCTCTCTCTCTCTCTCTCTCTCTCTCTTCTTCTCTTGTGCCTCCTGCACTGGTGAAGCCTGTTTTCCCTCCGTCTACTCTCCCTCTGTCTCCTTCCTGCGAACCTTTTGTGATTTGCGCTCTTTGCGCGATGGCTGCGACACTGGCTCTCCTGACTCTCCTGACTCTCCTGTCTCTCGCTCGAACGGCAAAGGCAGTACTATAGTTTTTCGCAATTAACCGCGAGTGGCAACCAGTTTGAGCAACCCCAGTCGCCGCAGCACTCCTGATAGCGGGTCGTTAGCTTGCCCACATCTTCTGCCTTCGACTCTTTAACCCAGAGATTCCGTGAAGTCGGCCAGCGCCGCGACAAGCCGCACGGGGATATAACGCTGCGCTGGTTAGAGAATGGCGGAATCGCAGAGTGAGAGGACTCCCAAGGATTGGTGGAGAGTGGGTGGGGGGTGGGGGGGTTGGCAACCGACGATTCTGCAAATGTCCTTCCGCCTGCCGGGACAGCGGAGGCACTTCGTAGGCCCAAACTTATTTCGTGGATTCCTAAAAATTGGCACCTGACAGTGTTCGGCGTCATCCCTGGTGGCTCACTCTCTGGTGGTTCATGTGCGAGTATGAGGTAACCTTAAGGTACTCCTCGGGTCTTGCGCAGCATCCCTAAGTAGTAGTGTCCCAACTGCAGTGTATACAGATTTAGACTAGCGTTTTTACAGTTTCCCCGGAGGACAAGAATGCTGCCGATATGTGTCCGTTGGTGTTTTCTACGGTGGTTTTTTCATTTTAGAATGAAGAAAATGAAGAGACCGAAGAAAATGAAGAAAGGAGGCAAAGGAGGCACCACTCGCGTGCACGTGCGTGTTGTCGGATGCGTGTGATTCTCAATAGAGTCTTTGAGCGGCAGTGACCCTTGAATGCGCTTATTAGTCTATTGAACGGATTGATGAGGAGGAATCTCAGCGTTATTCTATTTATACGCGGAGCGTCAATGGGAAATTACTCGTAGGTTCCTGCGGGACGTGTGTTCTATAATCGTCCGCGTGATGGGAGTTGTCCGTCCATGCGGTGTCTCGGCGTATTATATTGGCCCAGTGAGATTAAAACGCTGAATAGAGAATAAAGTGAAGGCATTAGGACCAGTAGAAGAAGAAATGTTCGCGTCCGATCAGTCATGCAAAAACGTTTTTAATTGCAAAGAGCCGATTAGATATTCTCGCAGGAAGAACTCGGGCAATTTTTTTGAATTTTCCCAGCTCGCAAAAGCGTGTGTGGGCATCGACTACTTCTTATCTAAGGATGTAGCATGGCCACATCACTTATTGCGCGACACTCTTCTAAATATAGCATGTTCGGTGCGATATGTCGTGCGACCTTCGCACTCGTAGAATTTCGCTATTTCGACCAAAATCGACAAATGACATTTATTTATGAGAATTGATTTGCTCGATGAATGTAGAGTCGCAAAAGCAGTGGCGTGCCTGCAGCCAAAGTGCAATTCACGAAGCATGGGTTGCCCAGAGACAAAGTAGGGACAGTTGCAACTATATTCATCCTGCACTTCTAGAAGGTTTCTGTCGAACGGTCGAACGGTCGAACGGTCGAACGGTTCTTTCTCCCACCACGCAGCTCGAGTAAATATGTGTCGCACACGAACTCACCCAGTGAATTCTCCTTCGAGCCGTCTCTCTCTCTCTCTCTCTCTCTCTCTCTCTCTCTCTCTCTCTCTCTCGTACTATATGCCAAGTAGAGTCGAATCATTTGCAAAGCTCTTACACGGAAACTGATTCGGCTTTCCTTCCAACAGCTCGTCGAGCCAGGAAGTCGTTTTCCGCTCTTGGACATTTCTTTGTTGTCTGTTTTCTTTCCGCGGATTGCGGGATTGTTCGGCGACGGATTTCGCCAGAGCTGCCTCCGATGTACTCAGTCTCGCCAAAGGGAATCACAGGGCGTTTCCATGGTTCGGTTTCGCATTGACCAAGAGAGCAGCAGATGTGCTCAGCTGTCAGCTGTTGGCAGGCAGCAGCGCGCGTCGTGCCCGCCAGAGGGAAGGACATCACGAGGGCTTTAAATCCATTCCCTCCTGGCCTCCTGGGAGCATGTTTACCTACGGTGCACGTACAGCACAGCAGCTCAGGAACACCAGGGGCATCGACGCGACAGCGCCGCGTGGACCCTTCTGGAACAATACGTCCTCGAGCGGCTGTTCTTCCGTTACACGTCGAGGAAATACGCGATTCCTACCATGGGATGCTGCGTCACAACGGGATCTCCGACTAGCTAGAGGTTGCCTCGCGTGGAGATCGGAATGAGCGCCCGTGATCATGACAAAGTTTACTAAGGAGTCGATATGTGGTTCGACTAAACCACTTTCTGTTGATGTTGTCGATTAGCCAGTAGCTTTATCATTTCCTGTCGGGCTTTTATCTGAATTGAATGCGAATTTTCGGCAACGAACAATCTTTTTTCTCATGATCACCTCGTCACCTTAATGACGACCTTATGCTTTCTGTTTTGCAGTTGAGGAACCTCGTGATTCTGGGCTGTGTCGAAACCAACCGGAAGACTAGGAGTCAACGAGTCCTCGTGCTATTAACGAGAGGAAAAGAGTCGATAGTAAAGAGGCGGAAGTCAGAGACGTAGAGAGAAGATGGGTGCGCGTCAAAGCAGAAGATCCGTCGACATAACGACGACGCCGAAAAAGGACGGCGTGCCAACCGAGGGTGGAGTCGTCGGGGACGCCGCGGCACCTGGTGATGGTAAACTCGAGAGGATCGAGGAAACCGATTCGAAACCGATCTCGAATGGTGTCTCCTCGCACACGGAGGTTGCTGCCGATAAAGAAGACAAGGATAAGGATAAAGATGAGAGCAGCGAGAAGGATAAGGAGAAGGTGGTAAGTACACAAGTAAAAGCAGTATTGATTTGATATCGATGTTGGCATCTTGTCTGGTATTTCTTACGTCGGTTTTAAAATCGACGCTCATTTTTTAAAGACAATTCTGTTAGTGATATTTCCCAGCAGCACGCATATTCAGAGTTCATGTGACTTTGTAATCTGCCTGTGTACTTTGACCCTGTACGGCAGTGCCTGTACGTCGAGACGTGCCATCTGCAGGTCAGTCCCCTTTCTATTGACAAATGGATTTAAGGCATCTCGAGTTACGCAACGAATCGAGAGACGCCTCTCTCGCTGGCCCACACCACTGTGCTCTTGTGTCGATGTGTACCTACGACAGCTGCAACCGTACTATTCCGAGACTGACCTAGGAGAAGCTGGCTCTCTCTCTCTCTCTCTCTCTCTCTCTCTCTCTCTCACTCACTCACTCTCTCACTCATGCGTACCAGACAGACGTATATCGTCCGTCGTAGTGCGTAGAGTGGCTGCTCATACGTGTGTGTATGTGCGCGAGTCAATTGACGCTCGGCGGTCGACCAGTCGACCAGTCGACCAGTCGACTCGACCAGTCTTCCTGGATGCTCCTCGTCGGGAGTAAAATCGGAAGTGAAGACGTCATTTGGTCTAGTGTCGTTGATCAGAGTAGCATGGCGGATCACGCGGTCCGCCGTGCAGAGGATGGCGGTGCAGCCAATAGTCGTCTCGTATTTCAGGATCAGCTAACTGTGCTCGCGAGAAAGCAGACTCTGATCTTTACTCGGGTGCCGATCTGCTTGAGTGGCTGAACCACGCAGCCTCCACTTTCGAATGAATCATAAGCGTAACTGCTTGTCTCACAACCAGTTCCTCAGGCTCTTTTTGTTGGCCTTGCTGATCTGGCCATTGTGCGATCACATGATACCGTAGCGCTGTTGGCTCTCGCAGCATCGCCAGTTGGCTCCTCATGCTCGTGCAGTCTGGCGCTGCCGAAGCTTCCGACTTCTTCCTCCCTGAAGTTCGTTTGTCGAGGGAACTAGATATTCTCGCAGTCGAGTAATAGTCCTCGACTTGTCGCGCAACAGATACAGTCGGCAGGGATCCCCGGAAGACGTGCAGTGGAGATCAATTCGGGAAATTAGAGCCTGAAAGATCTTTGGGATGCAGCAAGCGGAGAGATGCGTTTGTCTTTCGTTTCTTATTTTCTTATTTCATGTTCCTTGCCTTATTTAATTCACAGCCGTTATACTCGGAGCGTGCTTGCTCTTTGGCAAAATCTCACATGATTTCGCGGCAGGTGCACTCTCAGTCCTCAGTCCTCAGTCTCGGTCGAACACCTGTCCTTCTCACGTGTCAGGTTGAAGAAGCAGTTCTCGAGTTTTGCCAAAGTTGTTCTTCGCAGCAGACAGTAGAAATCATGCGAGGTACTTGCTGCAACTTTACATTGAAGGAACGAAAAGGATTAAAGTCTGCATAATCGACGGATTGGTGACGTCGGCAGTCCAGTCGAACGACCCTGACCATGCGCAAATCGAGATAACCAATTAAAGAGTCTGGCTCTCTTCGGCTCGTTGAAAACTCGAAAGTTCGCAATCCCAATGGAGGAGCCAGCGCTTCCTTCGTTCCTTCTCCTGCTTTTGTGTCTTCGACGCTTTTCCGTCGCTTCAAAACTTTTGGTAGGCGAACCGAAGTGGTCGCGTGTCCCTACGCGACCGAGGATTGTCGACCGTTGCGTTTATCCCTTTATTTAATTCCCTCTGATGTTTTCCGCTGATTCTCGATTATCGACACGAGACGAGAAATTACATGTAAAGGAAAGAAGCGTCTATAGAAAATTCGTGTTACTTCGAGTGTCCAGGGAGTAAAAGAGGCTGATGGCTTTGCGTGTCTCGAGGTCAATACACACATTCTCGAATAACCACAGACTATAGATACGACATGGACGATTGCTGCCTCTCTTTGGTTTCCCATGAAATTCAAAAGGAAGGCAGCTGCTTTCTTCACTCGCAATCAGTTCCTCCTCGGTTCGTCCCTCGAGCGACAATTCTGCGACCTCCAGCCGATCGGCGCACGTACGATTCGAATGCTCGACCGATGATTCAGTACGGAGGCACTCGTGGAACGCGTTTTTCACCTGCGCCAATTGATTCTCCTCCCCTTCGGCTCTCTCGCCAGCAGCTGCGATCGCAGATGCGGATTATCCGGCTTCTCGTGTCTACTCGTCTTTCTCTCTCTCTCTCCCTCCCTCTCTTTTATCTACGTTTCTCTTTGAAAATGTAAATTTTTGAACTTGGGCTCACTGTTAACGGAGGGGTGGGGGGGATAATCGACGCGAGGCCTAAAACGAAAGACCGCGATGGAATCCCTCGAGTACGAGGCGGGACGCCGATTGACGATTTTAGACTGGCGCATTCGGTATGCCATATGTAACATATGGCTCACATAATAATGTTTGATCTGACGTTTGACGATCCATGAGTTATTTGGCTGAACGAATTAAATACTTAATTTTTTAGTCATATGTGATTGATAAAAACTTGAGATCGTGGCCGCGGTATTCATGTGGCGGCGCAGCAACACGAGGGGAATAGCGAATTAGAGGGCACGGAACGTACGTATGTTGCGACGCGTCCTCGACGAATGCATCTATCTAACTCCAGAAGCCATTGTACTCCAGGCGCCTACGCATCGCGCACCGTCCCTTGTCCCTCTTCGGCACCTCGACGCACCTCCACGCACCTCCGCGCACCTCCACGCACCTCCACGCACCTCCACGCACCTCCATGCACCTCCACGCACCTCGTCGACGAAGAAGAGGCCGCGCCGTCCGGGCTTTATATCGTCTAGTCTCGGGAACAAAAATAACTCCCTATTTACATAATATAATGCGCGTATAAGTGGCTCGAAGAGATTCTTATTGACTGGACAAATAGTCGTTGGTATCGGTTTTTATCGCGAGACATGCAGCTGCATCCAGCCAATTTTTTATTTTCTTGTATTTTCTCTCTTCCTCCGCATCTCTCGCACCTCTTGGTTCGCCCCCCTCGTCCCCCTGGCCGCTCTCGCCTCTCGTTACGTTACTACTCCCCATGTTTTCCCTACTATGGCCGACGCGTTTCTCTCTAACTTGAGTCCATAAGGCGATCTTCAAGAAGACGTACTCAAGTTTCCTGCATGATTTAAGTTATTTAGGCGCGGACACGTGTTCAGGGCAAGAGCATTCTCGTTATTTACGACAGGGCTGGGTGGTGGGGGGGGGGGGGG